AATAGACGTTCCAGCCCTGTATTCCAGCCCTAAACCTAACCTTATCCCTAGCCCTAACCATAACCTTTTTCCTGACCTTAACCATGACTTTAATTATGTTAAATAGCGTGTTTCTAATCGATTTGAAGAAAAAGAGCGAACATGTGTAGATTGAGTCCATACGGTTCTCATATTTCCTCATTTTTCCGAGGTCGTCATTTAGGAACGTGGTGGGTAGCCGAAAACGTAATATGTTGACGATTTGTCACCTAGCCTAAAATGTGACACTTTGGGAGTGAGAACGTGTTGGTAAAATATTACGCTTTGGGAGTGAGAAGATGTTGTCAGTCGGCAATCGGTCAGGATTCCACCTTTGTGGTCCTATCAATGATTTTAAGTGACTGTATCTGTATGACCAAAAATGTTTTACCAGCCACAGAAAAGAGTTGCAAATAGAGGCTAAGAGCAGCAAACAGTGGCAAAAATAGCAGCGCTTACCAACAGAGAGGTTCAGATTATCCTCAATAACTTTTTGGTCTTAGTGGACAACAGTGAGCTTTACTGACTTATCAACTCACATTGGACTGCTTCACAAGTTTTACACCCTCCCCTTGGTAAATAGACATGGACACATTTCTATAGTTTTCAGTCATGTGACTGACTCTCTATCCTGGAAGGCAAAAAATTATTCCATCATGATGGATCGTATGGACAGTCTGTAGTATTTTAGGACAAAAGTGTTTTAGGACAATAGGTATTTTAAGACTACATAAAATATCTATCAATGGAGAAAAAATGAAGATATGAAAAGAAACTACAAATTTTAGGTTGGGTTTTCCATATTCAGCCCCAGCAGCTTTGTTTAAATCCATAAAAATGGCGACGTCTCTACCAGAGCTCCAGTTTGACGACGCTAGGTGTATGTTACAGAGAATTGCTCACCTTACTATGCTGTCAGGATGAAAGCTTTCTAAGTATGGACAGCTACTGAATGTAGTGGAGAAGCAGGGATTGGTATGATTTGGCTTGTAAGGCAGGATTAGGAGACGTTAAGGTTCAAATGGTGGCTGGAGGGCAAAGGACTGCAGTACTGACGTCATGTGAAAACTATGGATAGACACATGAGGTCAACAGTGGACTGACATCCTGCACTCACTACAGATGAATGGTGGGAGGGGTAAGAAAACAGAATTAATTTGACTGCAATCTGATATCTACTGACCTCTGGTGGTGAGATTTTACACACTGTACCTTTAAAGCTACCCTCCTTTACGCCAAATTTATTCTGATTTGCTGACTCTCATAAACGTCTGTATCAACCCTTTTCTCTTTGATGGCATACATTATATGTATGCTAATAAATCAAGAGGAACACATTAATGACAACTAGTGCACTCAGCAGATGATAGATATCCATCTTCTGGGTGCTGATTAATGCTGTGCCAAAGCAGAAGACAAATGCATGACATATTCATCACTTTTATGCCAGGTCACACTGCTCCAATTAAAGGCGCCAGTTGATTTGAAAATCTTTTAATCTGAATAGGGAAACATGTGCATGTAACCAAAGACCTTTTTGATTGCTTTTTATTTGCATCACCAGCACAGTTCTCTTCTTTGTTTTTGCAAATTAGTTTATCAGGTTTTGTAAGGTAACACTGTCCTTCATGAAGAATGTTCTCTTCATAGTGTGTTGAGGAAAGACAGCATGCATCTTTTTGTGGATGCTGCCATGAAGGACGTACCGCATTTCACCATTGTGCTGATGAAATTAATTCCCTTTTTATTTGAACACAGTGTAACCTTCGTGTTCTCCTCTTTCAGACAGCACAGATACTTTTAAATGTTACACAAGCTCTCAGATTCTGCTCATAGTTATCCTTAGGCTTAATAGAAGACTCTCACAGTATCTTGTAGTCCTTTAGGATTGTCTGTGAACAGAAAATAAGAAAAGCTAATACAAATCTTGTTATCCTCTGTGGCTCATTATTAAGTATCTACACCCTCTTAAAGATTCACAACCTAAGAAAATGTGTAAGTTGGAAAAAACAGACTGGATTTAGATTTAATCACACAAAAGCCCGTAGAATAGCGGTTAGTAATTACCACGACTGAAATGGTTTTCATAATCACCTGGGCTAATTGGAAACATGAAAGTAGGCCAGCTACACTGCATTACTGTAAATCATTATTGCTTGTGTTAATAATCCTGTTTTCCTATCTCCAAAAGGTATTCATAAACTTTGAAGTGGATGGGACTTTTATTTGATAAAATCAAATAAAAGTAATAAATAAAATATACATCCTGTTTCTGGCAGAGACCACCCGCTAACAAACCTGCTGCTTTTTTATCTTTGGCTGATGAAAAGTTTATATTCATATGGATCCCAATAAAGAGCTTGGATTGCATTGCTCCTTCGGTTTCAAAATCACCCACAATACTTTAATGTGTCTTATCTTTATATATTTGTATGTAGGTACTTCATGAGTTGCTAATTATTGCATCAATGTTATTGGTGGAAGGTTTCATGTCTCCTAATGCAAACATGGCAGAAGATTTAAAGAAAGAACATTTAAAGAAATCACTGACTTGAATTTTCAATTGATTTTCCAGCTCTTTGGCTTGTTACAAAGTTCAGATGTGTTAATTAGATGTTTCCTTTATTAGATGTTTCCTCTTACCTCCTAAGATGCAGAATATAGCTAGTTATTGTTGTCATCAAGGCTCCAAAATCATCAATCCCTGCAAATAAGTTACACCACAGCAGTTTTTCTATGTGTAAGGGTGATGGACAGACTGAAAGAGCAGGCAAAATTGCAGCAGCAGCATTGGCATTTTAAAGGGAGAGATGGGAAAGTTCAAATCTTAAATAGACCAACAAATAGGGAGAGTGTTTGCTATATGATGTGAGGCTCACTGCCATCAGATTGCTGTCATAAATCATGGACAGAAGACATTCCAACAAGGAAATATCATTATCATTATAAAAATTCAACAAGTGCACCTTGAAAGATAAGGGACAGCAGACGTATGGGAGAAGAGTGGAACT